TCCCGCGCTGGCTGTTGCTCCTGCTTCTGCTGCGTCTCTTGCACCCGCTCCCGCTCTTGCTGTCGCTCCCGCTTTTGCTCCTGTTATTGCTCTTACTCCCGCTCTTCCTCTTGCTTTGCTCTTGTTGATGCTCCCGCTTTTGCTGTTGCTCTTGCTCTAACTCCTGCTTTTGCTCTTGCTCTTAGTGTGCTCCAAGGGTATTTGGAGCCTCGAAACCCTCCCTCCCAATTCAGGAGTGGGAAATTCAGAATAGGTTTTAAAAAGGCAGGGACGGTTTCGGAAGGATTCGCGCCAATGTGTTTTATTATTGGGGGGTTGTTTGATAAAAGGGGTGGTGAGAGATTACTGAGATCGGCATGGAGACTCAAGCTGTTCATCGTCTTATCATGAAAACCTAAATCGTGGAGGGAGTAAAACTTACGAGACATGCCATGCGGGAGCCAACAAAAACTACCCTATAACTCCTCAACCCCTGCTTGTTGCGCAGGAGCATTGGATGACCTGGCAGTAGGCACAGCTGCCCAGGCGCTCGGGCTGGAAGGAGGCCGATCCCAGAGTAGTGGGTCACAGAGGGTTTAGGGTATGGATTTCGGAGCCATCGATGAGGCGGGCAACTGGGACCTCGTTTTAATTCAGGATTACGGGTTTGGGGCTACAGGGTTTTCCGGTTTCAGGTCGCGGTCTGGCTAGACTCTAGACTTGAGGCCAGCAGCAACAGAGGTATAAAGTATAGGCTCGAGGGGCCTGGGGATTAGGGAGTCTTGAGGGCTTACCGACCACCGGGACGCCAGGATGTACGGACCAAGCAAGCTTCACGGAAGTCGTCGTACTCGTGCGCATCCCAGGATATATTCACTACCTTCCAAGGGGGTGGGGCTTTGTGGGTCTTTTCAGCGAAGTAACATGCTGTGAACCTTACAGGGCCTGGCCTGGAAAGGGCGGATCAGGTTCATGTGAGCATGGTTGAACATGATATACCGACTTTCACCGACTGCCTTAACTAGCAAAGTTCCGGCAGCTACAAGTCGACAGCAGCACTCAGCCGACTCCGGAAAGAAACAGGGGGTACTAGAAAAGTTTCAAGCTACCACACCGGAAACATCCTCTTGCAGCTCGCATGTAACTATACCACAACATACCACAACCCATTTCTTCTTATCTTCGTGGGCGAAGACGGCTAGGCCACTGGCAGCAGGCCGTGTCGCTCTTGGTGGGCAGGTCGGAGGGCGGCGCTTTTTTGAGCAGCTTGGCTTCTCTCTTGGTCCTGAGGTTCAGCCGGGGCATGTTTGGAGTTTAGAAGTTCTGGGTTTGACTGGGTTTCAAGTTGACGTGTGCTTGGAAGGTCGTAGAAGCAGGTTGTGAGGTAGATTCCCGGCGAGCCGACCTCTACAAGTGTCCGAGAACACCTCGACCTGCACTGCACGGCCCCAGTGTCGTTTCGGGGGAGCAAGCTGCATCAGTCCTGCGAATGATATGGCCCCGATAAAAGACGAATACGAGCAGGCTGCCCAGGTTTGAGGTAAAACTCTCAGAAGTTTCGGTACACTGGCTGCAGGGCGAGCTTTGCTGCGGAGCTGCGATGCTGCACCCAGGCTGCGTACCCAGCATGGCCCACGAATAGTTGTAATATCCTAGGTGAGGTTTGGTGCGCCCGCGAATATCTTTCATTCTGAAAAGACATGGTAACCACCCTAATGAGTTCAAGTTGGGAGGGGCGTGCTATCTGAATTATTGACACATGGCTTATGAGCATTTGAATCCTTCAATTCCAGCTGTTTGGTGTTCCAAACTCGATGACCCTGCTAACCAAACTTAAACTCAACCCGCCTCAATAATTTGGCTGCATGCTTTCCAAGGCTCATACCTGGCAAAGAGCGCTCCAGCTTGTGCAGGAGGCCGTCCAAAAAACTATACTGCATCCTTATCCGTCGAAGCCCCCAAACCAACATTCAAGCTCACGCTTGCAGCGTTAGGAGCGCAAAGCACCATCATCGCTCTGGCATTGTTTCAGATGAGTATGCTTATTGTGGATATAGTTCTTCCTGTCCTTGGGATTATTAACGCGAGAAGTACCATTATTTGGGAAGCGTGCCTCCGGCATCGTAGCGTGATTTGGGAAAGGCGGTGTCGTTGTTCTTGGCGTTTGGTTCGTAACGTGGCCACCAGGCATTGAGGCATTTGCCGAAGGTGTGAGTGCGACCTGCCAACTCCGGGATCGGATGCTCTGTCCTAAACTAGTCCTCAGAAGTACCCGTCTAGTAATAACCTTTATCTTATCCATTGCAGTCACCTTGATCATCTTCCTTATAGGAGCCCTTATAGCCAAGTCTCCTCGCAAGCACAGACTGACGAGATGGCGCTGAGCGCAGCTCCCTGGTCGAAAGCGCAGCAGCTGATGGAAGCTTGCCTGACGCCTAAAGTTTTAGCATGTAACATAGAAACCTGAATAGTTGGTCGCACTATTCCTAAAGACCTCAAGTTTCCTTGTCACAAGTCTAACTGGTCTAGTATTCTCCAAAGCCCTGTTCTACTTTCCTGTCGCAACCGAATGAGACCTCATCTCAGCATTTGTCCGTGGTCTTTGCAAGCTTGCGGAGATTGATCCCGTCTCGCTTGTAGTTTTTAGCGCTCAGGGCTTGGTGTGAGAGTGAGGGTTTAGGGTTTACGGTCGGCGTTGGCACGAACCCTGGCTTATTCTTGTTATTCTGTTGCGTTGATTGTGCACATAACTTCGATGTTGCATTTTGGATACCGGCCATTCAAGCTTGTTCTGGGGCCACTTGCTGATGGCCGAGCTAAGCGTTACAAGCAGGAATGTGCAGATACATATGCGGTCACGAAACCTGAAATCTGAAGGCGTTTATTTGATGGAGCCGGAGCACTTCAATGCCTTTCATCAAGCATAGACCTACACCGTTCACATGACACATCAACGACCATCATAAGTGAGTGTGCGTAGATAGATAGATAGATAGATAGATAGATAGATAGATAGATAAATAGACAGGTAGATAGATAGGTAGACAGGTTAGATAGATAGATAGATAGATAGATAGATAGATAGGTAGGTAGGTAGGTAGGTAGGTAGGTAGGTAGGTAGGTTCTCAAGCACCTCGGCGTGCCAAGGACGCCATGAGTTGCTCCAGGCTCTGTGCCTCAACTACTTGATCCAGGGTGTCTACCCAGACCCTGATTGTTGATAACGCATTCTTTGGCTAGGATCCCAAAATCCGAAGACGTCTATGTAGTGCCACAACAGGCTTTTAGGGGCTAGGGGTTGAGGGCTGATCATATTCGACTTCGGGCCTAGGGAGTGCAGGGTGTGAGTTGAGAGTTTTAGAATGCCTGACGAATGGTTTTGAAACTGCAGGCATACACTGGATTTGGCAAGCCATGACACGATACCTTCCTCCTACATGCCCGAAGCGGGGGCGGGCCCCGAAATGCCACCAGAACTCAAAGAGGGACAGTCTCAACTCTGAGCCGCCCCCTTCTCTTCTCACCCTGGGTATCTAAACCCCGAGCTACTAGGACTTCAACCCTGGTCCGGCGCCGTTGTCCGATGGTCTCCCCATTTCGGGGTTTAGGGCTTAATGGGGTTTTAGGGTTGCTACCATCTTCCTGAAGGCGTTAGGCCCAAGGCTTTGTAACGTGGTGCACCTCAAGACACACGAATAACATTGGGGGGTCGGAAGAAATTGGTACTTTCTGAGCATGAAGGCCCCTGCATTCAAACCACCCAAAGTTTCTACTGTAGGAAAACCGCAGGCTGGAACAGCAGCATAGCAGCCGCTTGACTCAGTGAGCTCGGGTGTTTAAGGGCTTCGTTTTGCACAGATCTAAGACAACAAGCCGTGCGTGCCGAGGTTGAGGTCAGCATTTCGGATGTTGGGTTCAGGGCTTATAATAAGCCTGGGGCTATAAGGTTGAGGGATCTTAGGCTTTAAGGTCCACCTAAGATTTATAGGTGTTAGCGGCTGATACAACACAGTACACATCATGTTTGTTGTGGGTTTTCTGTCGTGGCGTCACAGGTTGTCACGGTCTTGCCTTGAAGTCATCAGTCGTCTCAATGTAGTCGGTGCCGTTCCAGGATAATGTGTGTAGAATAAATAGTGTCTTGTTTGCTTTTGTTTTACGGCCGGCTTGTTGATGACGGCTTGTCGAAATAGCTTGCTGGGCAACCCCGGGTCCGGCGAGCCGATACCTCCTCGCGCTCCTTAGGTTCGGCAAAATTTGAGAAAGTACGCAGTCATATCAATATGGTTTTGTGCCAGAGCACCGCAATGTTTCGGAATCGAAACCTGGAAATCACGCGTAAAGCAAGCACAAGCAAAGCCGAAAACCATACGCACGGAGCATGAAACGCACACGCCGCAAACATAAGATCCACACCCCCCGAAACCCAGCACATACATACTACACGAACGCTACGTCCGAAACAAAGTGAAAGCCGCATCATGCGACACATGCAAGCAGGCATCCTGTCAGTCATGGGCACCCGCATACAAGGGAACCAACGTACTAACATGCCTACCACCCGTCACAGCGTGCAAATTTATTGAACCTACTTGTGACTTCCTCGGTGCTCAGCACCAGTTGTGCTTCTGCTTTATTATGACTGTTGTCAGGGCGTCGTGGGTGTCGGATAAAAAACTGTCCCGAGACAACGGCCACGCAACTTAGTCAGACTCGAAGCTTCGCTAGTTCGTCCGCCTGCTCTCCCCAGGCCTGCACTCCTGGATCCAAAGCTGCGCAGCCCTTTGGCAGAATGCTTCGGCATTTTCGGATTAGGTCGCTACCCAGGAACTTAAATATTTGTGGTACATGTAATTTCGTCTTCCGGGCCTGCAGGAGTGCGCCATGTATTCATTGGCCGGAAGCCCAGAAACCGCACCCGAACCCAAACTCAAAAACCGCAAATAATAGAAACAGATAATTGCCACTGACCTGCACTTCTAGCGTTTGCAGTCAGTACGCAGGCAAAATGGGTGGCATACCTTGGGCAGGTCAAGGTTCTGCTAAGTTTGCAACCCTCAGGGATTGCGAGCCCGCAGGGTGGGGACTACTGCGCCTGTTTTACAGGGTTTGATCTCTTGTAGCTCTGGTGACCCTGCTGTTGTGAGCCCCCAACCTGGTTAACACTCGCTTCGCAACAGGAGCCTGGAGGATCAAGTATATGGTGAGCTAGGTGTAGGTGGTCGAATCCCATCCTGATGTATGCACTGGGCTCCTGTTCCCATGCCTCAACATGGTATTCCGGACTAGTTATAAGGCGAAGGAAACGAGGTGACAAAAAAAGAAACAGATAGTTATTTATATAGTTATATTGTATTATACTATATCATACATATTATATACATAATTTTGTACACATAATATTACATTATATATATATATACACCCCAAATCCTAGGGACAGCTGCTGTGGCGGGAAGCTCTTGGCTCCCTTGGACCGTGCTTGGCAACACGAAGCCGTGGTCGCGCAGGTGCGGGATCATTAGGGTTTTGGGGCTTCCGGGTTTTGGCGTTGATAAATTGGGTGGCTGTTCATATTGCGAGTGGGCCTCGGACAAAAGAACAAGGTGAAAGAAGAGACAAAAGAGCTTCAGAACAAGAACGAGCATCCGAGAAGCAGAAGGGTCGAGGCGGCAGTGGTGGCTGTGTACTGCCATCACCAGTGGTGATGGCAGTAAAAGAGCAGCAGTGCTGGTGCTGGTGGCGTGGCGGTGGCGGCGGCGTTGATGGTGGTTACAGACAGTAGCAGTAGCAGGACAAAGCAGGAGGGGCAGGACCAAGAGCAGGGGCAGCATCGGCAGGGCGGCATGGAAATCTCAGATTTGCCGGCCTTTGATGCTGGTTGGCTTCAGGACGGCTCCAGGTGCAGTGGCCTCCTATGCTTCATGAAACAGTCACTTTGATTTGAGGATTTAGGGCAGAAAGGCGACAACTTCTCTGCAACATCTCGCAGTCAAGCGGTTGCAGATTGTTTCAGCAATTCCACGTGCCTCCTTATCGTTTCACCCCCCTCAGTCGCAGATGTACACATTTATGAAGTCAACTGTCTGTCTCAAGCAGGTGCCACCTTTGCTTCGGCCTTCACAGCCCTGGGATCTGAAGCTCCGAGCTCTTGGCCACAGGCTGGGGATGGGGCTTGAAATTGAAGAAATGAGAGGACATGGCGTTTGGAGACCTCGATTTGAGAGTCTTCCTGGCGCTGCGGATAGGACTTGGCCCTTCTGACCTTCTGAAAGTCTGCCGGGTTGCCGTCTGCTTCAAGTACAGGCCAGATATGGTCACATCATGTCACATCTACGTTGTGAATTGCCGAATCGCTCCAGCTCATTCACGATGTCCCACATGATTCGGAAAGTCGCTGTCAGTAAACCCTTGCAGCTGCTCGTGTTTCCATGGACACGTCGCGTAATATACATGCCTGCGCGAGGCGCTTCACCTTTTAGCAGCTCTTGCACCTCAGACTGGCATTCAGACTGCAGCGCTTACAGGGCTGCGGCGCATCGATGGGGCTAACTTTTCGATTTCGGGAAGTCCAAGTCATGCGCGAATCCGAAACCATCCCGAGACATTGTACTGCCAGCTCCAGTCCAAAAACCTATCACTCAGTGTAACTCAGGTGTCCTTCTTCTGGCTAGAGTTCCTGTTTTGCTAAGCCCAGCCCAGGAATCCGGTTTCCTGGAACCGACTGCCGTCCTTGTCACGTCGGCTTTGTGCGCACCGAGCAGCACAGAAGGCTGGCAGCACTCCTTGCGCCTGCGACGCGGATTGCACATAATCTGGGGTTTCCGGTTCAGGGCATACATGGAACCGACGCCTTACAGTTTTGCTCCCCACTGTAGCACACTAGACTCCAACGCTAAGTGCAAAGAAAGAGAATTGGCTAACATGGCCACGAAGCACGGCAAAGCGTTGCCCGGGACCTCTTGCTCCAGTGAATCTCTGCAGTACTGGGGGACAGCATTTCGGCCGTCCTCCTGAATCATTTCGGGCGTGCACCTTAATCCTGCCAGAACTTGGGTTGACTGTGCAGCTGAATCCCGCACTTGTGGAAGACGCTCCACTTGAGGACGGCATTGTGGCCCCAGCAGGGTATGTTTCTGTGAAAGGGCGCAGTTTAGGTAGGGTTCGAGAATCTCAGGACATATTTGCTGCGAAGGCAGAAGCTGCGACCAGATATGGCAAGCCATTCTACCAGGCCGCTTTCTTGGCAATATGGCAACATGACGTTTAGGTTGCTGTTGTATAGACTCATAGATATCGCCGAGCCAAAAATCCAAGCAATCTTAGGCTCAAGGCATCAGCTCGTCATTGGCCCGCTGCTTTGGAGTTGCTGTCGAAGGCCAATCTTGATGGGTGGCATGGGTGGTTTATCCGTGTTCAACTCGGGAATGGTGCTGTCTGAACGATGGGAGTGATCGACGATGGCAAAACTAGTTGTGTTGGTCTGCATTTGCGGTTGCTGTTGCACCTTCAGATCTCTGTCAAGGGATAGTGTTAATTTAGGAAGCTTCCAAGACACGAAACCCTGGCCGGACCCGGTTGTGATAGTGAGGGTTCCTCCAGAAGCTTGTCCGAAGGCAGCTGCAGAAGGCTTCGAGCCAGGGGTGGCCTTCGACAACATGTCGCTTTGCTGGGCTGGCTTCGGCATGCAAAAAGAACCTTCGTAAACCAACATCTTCCAACTTCATCCAACTTCCCAGGATCGGGCTGAAGGATGGGTCGTGTATGTGTCACAGGCTGCCTAGGGACTACCGACCAGGCAACCGGGAGTTGCTTGTTACTGCCTGTTGCAAGTTTAACAGCTAGCCAGCTAGACTTGTTGAGCAAACTTGCTCTTACGGCAAGGCGTTGTGATCGTCTAGGAGGCGATGGAACATGGTTGCAGAACCGTATTGAGCTCACAGCCATAGCCGAACTTCAAGTGAATCAACTAGTGTCGGAGGCACCACGGCAAACACTGGAAGGTTTGTGTTCAGCTGCACTTGCATACTGTCTTGTTTTGTGGTCCTACGGCTGAGCGGTTGCTTGAGTTCGCTAAAACCCCTCCGGCTTACTGGTAATGTGGGCGTCTCACTCAGACTCAGTGACAACTGAACTCATCACCTTGTGAACCCAACGTAAAGATAGTGTCATATACCTTCCTCCTTCATGAACATTCTGGTTATACATACTCTCAATGTGTGTCTGTCCGCCACCTCCAGAGGATCATCAACGCTCGGCCCAGCTGGCGACTAGCTCTGGGGTTGCTCCAATCCCCACCGGATCCGCTTCCCGGAGACAGCTGTGGAGGGCGGGCAGGGGCGTGGTTCCAGGCATTCCAGTAAGAATTTGGAGCCTGCATGTTGCGGCAGTGAAGCCATCAGCTTTCGACCTTCAAAGAAAAAGCAGCTCCCGCAGATCTGAAGGCACAGACCTCTCTAAGGCCCATGTTGAGATTTCAAGGGCAGGGACGGCTTGAGGGCCCGAGAAGAGAGGGAAGCAGACAGAAAGGGAGCAACTGATGCGAAGCCCTGAACCTGTAAACCCTCGCCTAGGCTTGTCCAAGTATAAGTGCTGAAACCTGTGAGCCCACATCCCCAAAAGGCACCTTGAGCTCAAGGGACGAACCGGCTTCCGGCCTGAACTGGGAGTTGCAGCATTACGATCGTCGTTGTTGTTCTTATCATTATGGTCATCATTACAATTAAATTATGATTATTAGTAGTTATGTAGTAGTAGTAGTAGTAGTAGTAGTAGTGGTGGTAGTAGTAGTAGTAGTAGTAGGAGTAGTAGGAGTAGTAGGAGTAGTACTAGTAGTAGTAGGAGTAGCAGTAGCAGTAGCAGTGGCAGTGGCAGTAGCAGTAGCAGTAGCAGTAGCAGTAGCAGTAGCAGTAGCAGTAGCAGTAGTGGTCGTGGTCGTGGTCGTGGTCGTGGTCGTGGTCGTGGTCGTGGTCGTGGTAGAGGTAGAGGTAGAGGTAGAGGTAGAGGTAGAGGTAGTAGTAGTCGTCGTCGTCGTCGGCGTTGTGTAGCAGCAGCAGAAGTACAGTGGCAGTTCGTGGCGGCAGTCAGCTCAGGCTGGGATTCGGTGCCGCACTGGCCCTGTGCGAGCGCCAGGGGCTTGTGGAACAGGCCCGGATATTTCGGTGTCAACCGTTCAGTCCTGGCCGACTACGAGTGTCAAGAGAACCATATTTCATGTTAGGAGTTTTTTGAAGTTTGGGGTACATGTTTCAACGGTCCTCGTTAAAATAATGCGACTATGCAGGGTATTTGTTCGGGTCGTTGCAGTGTGGTTGTGCCGAAAAGGATCTCTTTCGCCTACAGAGGTAAGGACTATGGCTTGTGGGCTGCAGTTCTTTGCTGTTTATGTCAATGCCGCAGCCGTGCCACCGTTCCTTCGTGCACCTTCTCCTGTGCTGTTACCGTGGCAACGATGACGATCCTGTTCCATGCGCCCTTGAGAAAACATATCTTCTAGACGCTCCGAGAGCAGTCGACAAGTGAAAACTCAGAGCCACACATTCGGGTGTCGTTTGGTGTCGTTTTGCTAGAAGTCCCAGAAGGTAAGGCTCCAAGAAAAGGACGAACGCAGGTTCCCCTAAACCCTAATCCTTGGAGGATCTTGTGGTCAGAAATGACGTTTTCAGAGTAGGGTGGCAAAGATTCCAACATTGATTCTGAGCATCAGGGCTACCGGCTCCTCATGTCTACGCCAAACTCGCCGACCTTCGTCCCTATGCGTCTCTGGGCAATGGCCCGATACTTGGCCAAGAGCCCAGAGGCCTGACATTGTAACTGGAGATTTCAGGTTTGGGTTGGCAGGGGGAGAGCCTACAATTTTCTGAGTTGCATTGCACATGTTTCGTGGGCCGCTGTTGTACTCTATGAGTGAGTGTGCTGAGCAATGCCTCTCTCGCCTTTTCTCTCTTCTCGTTTCTCTTGCTCGCTCTCTCTCTCCGTCTCTCCCTCCCTCCCTCCCTCCCTCCCTCCCTCCCTCCTTCCCTCCTTCCCTCCTTC